TTAGTCAATCTAGGACGAATTTTATTTAATATAATGAATGATTTATTTAGTTTTTCGAATAGTGTATAAAATATGTTTATCTTTTAACTTTTTATTCTTTATTCTAGTCGTTCTACCAAAAAAAAAAAAATTGAAGAGTTAAGTATTTTTTCGACTATTTAGAGGCAGGAAACGAGAGTGAAAATTTGTTTCAAATTTTATTTGCTTCTCCTCTTAACTCTTGAATAAATTGATGGGTTTTTCGGGCTGTTCAAAATTAGGCTAAATTAAAAGCGAACCATAAAATATTCCGACTTTTCATTCACTTTTTCTCTATTGTAACTTCTAAACGAATGATTTTTGCATTTTTTTTTTCCTTTTAGCCCGCCTATGAACAGTCAGAAAATCCTTCGAATCGCAAATATAAATCCAGCAATTTACCAGATATAATTGGAAAATCTAATAAAAAGTATGAATATGTTTTAGTGGCACGGATCGGTGAGTAGGTGGATTTTTCGTGTGGGCTTGTGGAACTAAACAGATTCATCATGGTTTCTCGTTGGTGTTTATTTTTAGTTATCATTTTTTTTTTTAATCAAATGATATAGCTTCTATCGTTTAGTGTCTGTTTGCCTATAGTCCAATACACGATAATCCGATTTTTGTGAACGTTTTAGGGTTTATGTAAGTTAATATCTAAATCCATTTTATCACGATAATGGATTTCTCTTAACTCACCTACACAGGCGGAGTATGGTCGGCAGGGGGGGGGGCTTTCGGGCTGAAGCCTCCCCCCCCCCAAATGGTAAAATATAACCATGTTTTATGGTAAAAAAAAAAAATTATGTCTTAAAATGCTCGTGTAATTATATTTAATAGGACTTCAAGAATCACTTAATAACCGTTTCATATAGGTAGTTAGTACCTTTCTTTTTTTTTCTCAAAATAATTATCGTTATATATTATATCGTTATATAGGTTTGTAATAATTTTTTCCGATTATTATCTTGCCTTTCCTCAGCTCTCAGCACAGCCGGATCTACGAAGGGACACGTAGGCTTTCGGACTAAAGCATCTCACCTCCTGCCCTTCAAAAAATTGTTAAATATTACCATGTCTTGTGAAAAAAAATATAAAAAAATGATCACTAAAAGTATTATTTTTCGAGTAATTACATTTAATAGGACTTGAAGAAACATTTAAACACCTTTTCGTTTAGGTAGTTAGTTTCTTTCTTTTTCTTCCGAAGTAATTTTCGTCATATTTAAAAAAAAATTAGCTTTCGGCCTGAAGCTCTTCTCCCCCCTAAATGAAATCCTGGATTCGGTAGTGGCTCTGAAGAAATTTAGAGCGAAACATCGGCTCAAAATAAAATTATTTATTTTTAGTTTTGTTTCTCACTGACAACCTTCTTAACCATATTCTTATTATTTTTTTTTCATCAAATCTTCAAAATTTATCAAGGGTATATATTAATAATAAAATTTGTAATATCGAGAAAAACGCTTTATTTTACTCTTATACATTTATCAATGCTTTAATTCATTTAAATTTCTTGAAGACGTTTCGGGCAATTTTGCTCATTTTCAAGTCGAATATTTATATATCATTATTATATAATCATTGCAACATTTATCTCCTAAAAATCCTTCAAGTTATAAAATTCATAATTTATTCACGACTAAGTCAATGCTGGAAACAACTGTGGACTGTAAAAAAATTAAAAATTATTTTAAATTTACTCAAATGCCTCATATGTTCGTCACCTTTAAACACAACAGCCTAATCTATTTTTATTATTATATTTTATTTAGTCATATTTGTGAGTGTTTGAAAATAAAGTCACTTAGAAAGCTAACTTTTGTTTTTCGATAAAACAAATTTTCATTGAGTTTACTACGTAATGTTTTAAATATATTGTTTTATTTATTATTAATTATATTATATTATATATTACATTAGAGTTGGATAGATAAATATAAGTTTTAAAGTTACTATAAGCTGGAACGGTAATATAGCTGAGCCGGTGGTGCGGAAGAGGTGTGTCCCCTTTGTGTCCCTAATTTGCCTCTTAAGCAACTTTTATCCGTGTAATTCCCTCTCGTTAGGGTCCTTTATAGCTTGGTTTTTTCTTCTTATTTATATTTTTTATTAATATGTAGGCTATCTTGTAAAGTATATATGCTTTAGGATATACATTTTTATGTAAATATTCAGTCAGCATATTAATCTGATGTTTATATTTTATAGTAATAATAGAGACATCCACTAATGAATAAGGTATCCAAATTCCAGTATTTTTTTTTCTTGCATATTGTTTATATTTTGCTACAAATTTATAATTTTTCTTTATTATTTTCAATAATGAACCATCGTAATTATCCAAAAAAATTAAAAAGTCAATCCTCATCAAAATTTGAGGTTTTACGTTTCAGGATACGTAGAACTCGAAAATCGAATAAACAAAAATTGGACTGTCCGCCGTAAGCGCATTTTTTCCGAGTTACTGGATCGATTTTCTTTTCAAATTTGGAATCTAAGTCAGAGGCCCCTAATGAAACTTCGCTAATTTCTTCTGCTCGATGCCCTTTAAATATATGTATAGAACATACTTCACCGAAAAGTACTTCCCTTTCAAGATGGCGGATGAAAGACGTGTGTCGTTTAGACTGTTGGAGCTGAAGGGATCTACCGATGTTGTTTATAGTCATTTCTAAGTTTACGAAATTCGATAAAATATTTTTAAAAAAAATTGAAGTGAAGAACGGTTGGGGTGATCAGTAAAAAAAAATTTTATTTTTAATATTTTTTTTTTCGATTGATCATCACCACCATTCTTCTGTTCAATTATTCTGGTCTATTTTTCCCCAGTTATCTGTATGACGCTCTATTACATCTTTCTTGATTCGATCTATCCATCTGTTTTTGGCCTTGGGACATTCATTGTTGTGTAGATGCTTCCTGATGGATTGTTCCGAGCTACATGCTCCACCCATCTTAACCTCTTTGCCTTTATATCAAGAGATATTGATTGACTAGTTTCAGTAAGCAGCTTCTTATTGGCCTTTCTTCTTCGTATCTTTCTTAGTATTCTGATCCCAGAATGCTCCGGTTATCGTTCAGAGAATTTTTCTCTCAAATCTTTCACCAGATTTTTCTAGGGTGCTGGTTAGTATCCAGATCTCGGAGCCTGGCTTTTTCATAGCATTGTACACACTTAATTTTAAATCTCTAGAGATTTTTCGGAATTTCAATCCTTTTGAAAGAGAGAAGAAAGTTTTGGGATTTTTTTTTTTTTTTTTTTTTGTTCTTCGCTACCTCGCCTTTTAGGCTATACGGGATTTTCCCGGACCGGAGAATTTAAAATCCCCACCAGCACCTGGACCCGAACTCGTATTTTTTATTCTTTCATAACGGTTATCTGGTTGCCGAGAATTTTTTTGGCTTACTCTGGTCTGGTTCCGACCATTGGTCATTCATTGAGGTTATTGTGAAGGGGTTGTATTTGGATCTCTGGAACGATTTCTCCCCTATGCAGATCCTGTTATGGTGTTGAAATATTTGATATTTTTTTTTAAATATTTTCAACACAATAATAGGATATATATATATATATATATATATATATATATATATATATATATATATATATATATATATATATATCTTTTTGTTTTTCATAAAAATGCAGTCCTTGTGATAGCGTGTTCTTCCCTATTGTATTCAGCTCATTATAAATGCAAATTTCCATAGAACAGGCTACCCCACAACGGAGTACGGTCCATCCAGACCTGGCGAGCCAATAATAAACCAGAAGGAACAACCTGGACAGGTGAGCAGCTGATGTTGCCTGCCGCTGGACTATCTCAAAGCAACTATAAATATAATGTTTTGTTTTCTATCTCTCTTCCTTCCAACTTCAAAGTAAATTTTAACTGGCAACATGTGGGTCGATGAGGCAATTTCGCAGCCGGAAAAAAAATTAATGTTATTTTTTTGCCACATTTCTATTCCATCCTTCGATATCATTATGGCATAGTCTTGAAATACCTTTCTAAATCATTATAATTTCAAATTTTCTGTTACATTATTTAATTTTTTTTCTTGCTTTTTTTTTTTACTTACGATATTTGGGATGACATATAAAATACTGGTCAATTAATATAGCATGATATGAAGGCAAGGTGTTTTTGAGAGCGGAGCGATCCATCATGAAGCATCTATTTAACAATGAATGTCCTGATAGTAGTTAAAAGATCACGTAGAAGTTCAAAAACAGATGAATAGATAGAATCAACAAAGATGCATGGAGATAACCATAACTACTTCTAAGCCAATGGTTTTGCAGAGCTCATGTGGCCCAAGTTTTTGACCAATTTTATAGAGGCTGAGTGTGCCTCAGCTTCGTTCCACGGATATTGTAACAGAATAAGATAAGAATTTAAATGAATACTGATAATATAACACCATTCATTAATTATACTTATCATAAAAAATAATTTTAAAGTTTTTACATAATTTTTCGTGTTAAAAAACATCTAATTATAACAGTTTTAAATAATATTACAATTTAAAAAGTAAACTTAATTACTGAATTTTGGGGTGCGAGCTCCCAGAATTAATTAGGACTATCCGTCTTCTTCTAGAATTGGTTGGTAATTTCATGGAAAATAAGATCGTTAACTGAACACACAGGATTTCGGGATCTTCAATTATTACCAAAAAAATTATCCATCCAGTCCCCATTAAATTGCAAATAGATACTAATGTAAATATGTATATAAATTATTAGTTAGTTCTTCATTATTTTTAGCTCATCTTTTTTTTTCAATTTTTCATTTTTATTATTAACTGATTAAAATTAGAAAGTAACTTATATTTTTTTACTTTGACTCTTCAATTACTCTGTATTTTTCTAAATGGTCTCGTCCCAGAATAAATAAAGTATTATTATTATTTATTGGCTGTTCTTAACGGAGGGAGCGGGACTGTAATAAGGAAAGCTTTCTGAGGAATTTGACTTACTTTAACTTTTTCTCGACCAACATCGATATTATTTCTTCTACTGTTTTGCCTATTGTTCTCCTTACGGATTTCCTCATCGCCAAAGAAGATTCAACAAAGCGGATTCCCGTCCAGATCGAGATCAACCTCAGAAAGGTCCGGTACTGTAACCCTCCCTCCCCCTTTAGCGGTCGTACACCTCTCGGTTTAAAAAGCACGACGGGGGGATAACGCGGCGTGAGGAAGAGTTCCGTCCTCCGGAACGAAACAAAAACTGGACGCGGCGATGACTGGGTTCTCCGCTGGGAGTATGGCGGCAACGGCGGCGAACCAGCTGTGGCCAATCGGAAAGTAGGAGCGTATTCCACGCCTCGTCCAATCACACTAGTATAACTTGATCCATAGTCCACCTTGTAATCTGAAAGAAGGATTTCACAAAGAGACTTTAAAATTGAAACATTTATTTATTTACCAATAATCTGAATAAAACCCGACTTCTGTTGGACCGAAAAAGATCTATGAGAGACCTGATTTGATGTGAATTGTATTATTACCTATACTAGGTAAGGAAAGTATTGCAATCGGGTCAAATTTCAGATATGCGATTTTCGACTGATCTATACTTTTCAGAGCCCCTTGAGTCACATTTTTGGCCATTGGTAATTAAATTCCCTACAAAACTATACAAAAATCATTCATTTTGGACAACTATTAACGAAGTTACAGCTATTCAATTTCCAATGTAAGATTTCGGGTTCATATCCTGTTATTAGAAAAGGGTGAATGAGAGAAAAAATATGACTAAGTGAAAGTAAGAAAATCTGTTGTCCGCAACGCACAAGCTTCACAATTTCCTCTACTTTTAACAGAAATTATTGTTTGACAATACCAAACTATGGCAAAAAGTTTCTAATCAGCCATATTAGAGGGTATTGAAATGTTTATACTGATCTAACTTAAGCCAGTTTACATTGCTTTAGTTTATCAAATAAATCGTACTCAAATCTTTTCTTTGATCAATTTTCAGAAAAATAAATCTAGTTCAATTTTTTTTTTGTTTCTTTATGAACATATGTAAAGATGTAAAAACTTTTCTGAAATAGGCAGGCAAGTCGTGTGAGTGGACGCACCAGATGTTTTTTATTTTCTTTATATTTTCTGTATATATAATGTGGATGTAGTCTTAGCTCGCTGTAACCGTTTTCCATGTTCCTGAATATTATATTACATACTGAATACATTTAAAAAACAATTTGAAACTGTTGAGTAATATAACATTCTCTCAAAATAAAAGACATAATCCGTGGTACAGGCCCCTTTTTATCAAATTATTAACACCCACCTGAATCTTCGTAAATATAAATCATCATTTCATCTTGACATAGAAATATTTTATTTAAGAAAAAATACTCGGAATGAGGGCGTATTCAATCTGGAGGTCGGCAAACTTTGTCTATTTTATTAGATACTAAAAACTCGTAAATACCCATTTCCTTTCCACTTTGTTCCACAATAGTAAGATAATATGAGCACAAAATCGGAAAAAAAAAGAGCCTTAAAAAATATTGAGTCGTTTGCCGTGACTTACTCCCGCAAAATGTCAAAATAACGAGGTTGTACAGTTCATACATTTTTGTAGGCCACCTTTTTTTCTGAATTTGAGATCAAATTATCTTACGATCCAAGTGAAAAGGAAATGGGATTTATATGAGTTTTTTGTACTTGAAAATTAATTAAATAGACAAACTTTGCCGACCTCCAAATTGAAAACGCCCCAATTCTGAGAGTTTTCGTAAATAAAATAGTCGTATGTTACGTTGAGATGAAGCTATTCACGAATTTTTAAGATGAATGTTAATAATTTGATAAAATGAGGTTTATACCACGGACCCTATCGAATGATTAGATCGCTTTGTGCATATGCTCATCTTATTTTCTCCCAATCATGTTTGTATATATAGACCCGAACAATTTTCTATATATAGACTCGAATTTTATTTTGTTGAATAATGCAATGAATTAATCATGAATTTGTAATATAAAAGTATTAGTGATTATGAAAACAATTCCAGTATACCTCTGTATTTCTGTAAATATTTTGTGGAAAAAAGTAAAAAACAAAATTTTAAATTTCTCATAGTCTTCTCAAAATCTTAATATATCTCATAGTAGAAAGTGGTTCAATAGTTATTAAATCTGTTCACCTTGATTTGGCGATCATTTTGAAACTATAAACACATTTTAGATTAAGAGAAAGTAGGTAAAAAAACAAATGAAATGCGAAATTAATTTTTTCCTGTTTTTACTGAAAGATATTTAAAATATTTCGAAATTAATATCATTATCTCATAACATGATATCAATTTTTTTTTTTTCGAAATTTGGTCAACACAGCCAAATTTTATGTTGATTACAAGATAAAAATAAATATTAATTTAAATTTTCCATCGTATTAATTCTGCTGTCTTGTCCGCTCCCCTAATTTTGGCTTGGTGCAGAATTCCAAAACCCTGCTAAGTTCATTTTCAAATATTTATAAAACTCATTTTGTATTGGATTATCATCAGGTAAAACGATTTCTTCTAAATTCCTTTAGCCTCATTATAATCTAATTCAAGAACTGTTAAACATTTTAAATAAAATAGGATAATGGACTTGAAACGATATTTCTCGATCTTAAAGATATTGAAGAAATATAATAAATAAAACATCTTGATTCTTTATAATTATAGATTTTTGAAGAGTACAGTGCTAACTAGATATTTATACAGTGGGATTATACGAACCGTGAGAACCTATTCCACTGCCTCATTGATCGCATTGTGTCGACATCATCGGGAGTTACTTGTATAGGAGGCGGTGGCCTACCGTTGGTTCGCTTCGGTTTGTGATGTCGTCGAGGTGTCCAATCCATTTCGGGACAGGCTGGAAAATCTTCAATTATTTGCTCATTTTCCATTTTAGCAGTGAATTTGCTAACATTTTCTTATGTTGCGAAAAAAAAAAAAAAAACTCCCTTCATGATGACAGCAAGGGTTCCTACCGATCAGAGCATTCTAACATCTACCTCGGTTACTAACGATTATTGAAACCATCATGAATGACTACATCAAAGGAATTTTAATTATATAAAAAAAAAATCGATTATCAATAAAAAATGTGAAAGTATATTTACATTACTTAGTCTCAGAACCAAATCAAATTTTTAAACACTTTTGATTTATTATTATAAGTAATCTTCCAACAAAAATAAATTTGCTTCATCACTGCGATTTTGATGTTTTACATTTTAAGATACTTAAAATCCTAAAAACGAATTATAAAAAATCCATTCCTCCACTAGCCGTCTTATCCCATCTACGACTTTTCTTTGGGGCTATCGGATCGAATTTAAAAAAAAAATATCGTGTCAAAAGTTACAAGTCATGCCAGAATAATTCTTTTTTTTTTTTTTTTTTTTATTGAATTGAATCCAAAATGGTTCCACCCATTTAATGTTGAAGGGATAACATTTTTACTAAACATTTAATTTACACATAAATTTTATTTTTATGCAATAATGATTTTTTTATTCAACAAGGTTTAAACTAAAAAGTGTTAAATTTGTAATTTGTACCCGGAGATACTCCCAAGTGTCTCACAACTATACTGAGTTAGAGTGGCTCTTCCCCTCCATTCGAAGACAATATTTCCTAGCTACGTTCCTCTATCATATCATCAACAATCATCGTCCTTCTTACGCCTACAACCTTCTCCAATTCAAGTCCTCAGTCCCTTTTCACAAGATCTCGATCTTCCGACCTTTACATTCCTTCTCATAGATCTGCCTCGTTCCAAAACTCTTTTATTGCTCGCTCTGTTAATTTCTGGAATTCCCTTCCTATCAAAATTCGACATTCTCCTTCCCTATCTACATTTAAAACCTTCCTATTCCAATTTCTATCCCAAAAACACTCAGATATCTCCCGCTAACCTTTTATGTAAATTTACATATTATTCAAAATGATTCACATAATGACATATTTACATTTAATTCATCAATCAAATACTATCAGATTCGTCTTCTTTTCCTTTTTTTTTTTTTCTGCAGAAACACAGAGTTTATTGCTAAGAAGAATGTAATGTATTTTTTTTTTTCAATTCCTCTCGTATCCAATCTTTACAATCCAAAATCCTTCGTAAAATCCACAACTCTCCTTACTTTGTCACAAATAAAATAATCCATAAAGATCTCAATGTTCCATATGTTTCCGATTTGGCACAATCCAGATACCTATCCTTCCATAATAAACTTCATAAGCATCCGAATCCTCTTGTTTCTAACCTTGCTTCCTCTTCGATTCCTGATAACCCTCCGAGGCGTCTGAAAAGGAGATGGCCGAGTGATCTCCTCATGTAGACAAATTATTAGAGTGCTTCCAATGGGTAGTTTCTCAACAAGCGTGTTTCATGTGATAATATTCCTATGTACACATTTACTTGATGTATTCATAATAATGCAGTTGTCAATATCATAATAAAAGTTTTAAAAAAATGTCTAAGTGTATACTTATATTTTACCACTGTATATAGTTTTAGGTGTCTTGGCACGGTTTCAATTTTTTTGTATATAGATTTTTTTTAAATTTTGTACATAGTATGTTTAACTAATATTTTTTTACCTTTATTTTTACTTTTTATGTTTATTTTCACTTAGGCCAGATATAATACTTTAATTTTGTACTTTTTTGTTATTCTATAGGGACTTCGTCCCAGAATAAAATTATTTTCTATTCTATTCTATTCTTAAATTGCTCCCCAATATGGTGGCTGGGCCAAGATCACATCGATCATACTGAAAGATGGCCTAATGTTGTCAACTATTTTGACGGGTGTAACCTCGCTTTGCCATGAGGTTTTGGTCTACACTCGGTTATTGCATCAAGTGCAATCTAAGTGATCTTGACCCAACCGCCATGTTGGAGGAGTATTTGTGAAGTAGTGCTCTACAAGATAATGCTGTAACTATAATAACTATAAATTTCGATTTATACAATCATGAAGTAGTAATTATTAATGTAATTAACTAAAGTTATAATCATTAAAACATTTTAATTATTTTATCTTTAAAATTTTTTAAATTATAAATTTGTTAAAAAAACAAAGAGGTATAAAAGAACTTAAAGACACATGAATGAGGCGTAGTAACGATTTTAATTCCTTTGCCCTATTAAGTGTTTAATCCTTTAAGAACCCAATGTAAATAGTTAACTATTTATTTATTGAACAGTCTCAGCGTATAGTTGTGTTTTTCAACTTTAAGATTAGTTGTACGTGGCCTCCCAGTATGTATCTGTTTATATTTTTTACATAAACCTTACTGCAGTTATAACATGGATTATTCAAAGTCACTACCATTTCTTTTATATGGCTTTTGGTATTGTAATTTGTTTTTGTTTTGTCGAGAATGCTTAGTGGGTAATTCTGTGGACTCCTAACTCTGGTTGGGATAATGGAAAAATCTATCTACTGAGCTTTAATATTGACCACATTTTCTTATAATAATAGCTGTGGTGCAGATCCCTTTTTATCAAATTATTAACATCCGTCAAAAACTTTCTGAATGGCTTCATCTTATAGTAATCTAAAACTTTTTTTTTCTTAAAAATGGGGACATTTTCTCATTAAATTAATTAATTTAAAACTCGTTACTAAAAACTCGTGAATATCCATTTAGTACCTCATTAAATGCTGAGGAGGCACATTTCGACGGACTTATGAATTTCCTAAAATCCTAATTCAAAAGTTTGAAACCATTGGGACAAAAGGAAAACATAAAACAAACCTTAGGAAGTATAATTTTGTATTATTTACGGTATTTTTTTTCCTATTCTCCAGGAATTTATTTATATACAAAATACAATACATAAATGCATAAAGAAATATATATATATATATATATATATATATATATATATATATATATATATATATATATATATATATATATATATATAAATATATATATAAATATATATATATAAATATATATAATAAATATATATATATATAAATATATATATATATATATATATATATATATATATATATAAATGTTTAACATGATTTACGTTACTTTTATTTCTAATGTTTTAAGAAGAGGATAGCAATCTTAGATCTTGGAAAGGGGGTGTGGAGGTTCATGCGCCATCCACTTTAGGTGGATGGATACCCCTGATGATTAAAACATTTGCTGGAAAAGGAGAGTTTGGTTCACCATAAGGAAGTTTGGACGGACATGTACTGTTTTATGAAAAAATAAATAATAATTTCGTTCGAAGTTTTTTGTTTTTTTTTTGGCAGAAAACCGTTTATTGCTCCAAAAATGGTATATATCAAATATTTTTATTTTTTGAATATTTAATAGTTGACCGTTGCATTATAAAGGAAGAAGATGGTCCGGGGTAGCGGTCATAAATAGGCTAAATAGTGGCAAAACTATTTTATTTATTTATTTTTTTATAAGATAATTTATTGAAAAATATTACAATCTGTCTCAAGGACATTTATAATAGTGTACAATAAATAAAATAAATTATACAGAAAAATAATATATATACAATAAATAAGAATAAAATAACCTAAAAATAAATAAATAAAAAGAACACATACATACCTATTTTGGTAGTGTATGTCAGGTGATGTCACAACTGAACATTGATCGTACATTGATTTTATTAAAAGCCAACGTTTCGACCCGACTTTGCAGGTCTCCTTCAGGGCTATAACGAACAAGATACAAAAAGATAGAGAATTGTGGAAGTTACATAATATTTAGACAAAAAATTATAAACAATGTGAATAAGCTTATTAAAATTATAAATAGTAGAGATTGAAAGAAAATAAAAAATAAAACAAAAAAAAAAAAATAAGTAATTTTAATTACTCATTTATTTAGTTTTTGATGATGTAGAGATGGTTGACCGTTGATATAATATGAGAAGGAGTTAGTCGAGGGTGCGGTTAAATAAATAATAAATTAAAATATATTAATTATTTTAATTTCTGCCGACGTTTCGACCTACTTGAAAACAACTGCCTGGTTTCAACTGCCTCCCGCAGTGCTACATCCTACGCCCTGAATACGACCTGCAAAGTGGGTCGAAACGTCGGCAAAAATTAAAATAATTAATATATTTTAATTTATTATTTATTTGACCGCACCCTCGACTAACTCCTTCTCATATTTATTTTTCGGTTTTCTTTCTCCACATTCCTATATGTCTATTATTTCCTTTTCTTTCAATCTCTCCTGCAGATCTGTAGAAGTATATTCACATTTACATATATATTATATATTACACTACAACAATTATTACCGTCTATTTACTTCAGTTTAGGATCTTGTTACTTAGCTTACTCTGTTTATATTTTAATGTACTTACTGTTTATAATTTTAATAAGTTTATTCAGATTGTTTATAATTTTTTGTCTAAATATTATGTAACTTCCACAATTCTCTATATCTTTTTGTTTCTTGCCCGTTCTAGCCCTGAAGAAGACCTGCAAAATTGAGTCGAAAAGTTGGCTTTTAATAAAATAGTTTTGCCATTGTTTAGCCTATTTATGAATCCGGACCATCTCCTTCCATTTTTATTTTTTTTCTTTACAAAATAGTACTACGTAAGTACAAACTATTCCGAGTGGGAGTTATGTCCTTTTCCATTAAATATTTTAATTTTAGCTGATTCTAAATTTAGTTAATTTAATTTTAAGTTGTCCTTACCAATTGTAACTAAGTTCTCTTTAAACGTACTTCTCCTCGAAAGGCTCTGTGAGCTTGGATAGAACATAGCCATCCACTTAAGAACTTTATAGCCAAGGATATTCTCGAGAAGAGAGCTTTTATTTTCAGCTTCTTATTCTTTTTTTGTT